ACATCCATATTTATAAGTGCAACTAATATTTAAGTGTGTTTACAAATATATTAGAAAATATTTATGGTAGTTTTATAGAACTAATACCTATTCTTGAATAATAAATTATTAAATCATATCATTTTGCCAATCTACTTGTCCATGGGTGTTGAAATATGTTTTGAATTCCTCACGAATTCTCAAGTTATTATTATTTGGGCGAAGTCCACGCCGTAAATTAATACTTGAAAGATGCCCGGTGCTTCTCCAAGGTCCGTGTTTTACATGGCCATTATCCTCCTTATCGGTTGGGTCGGTTAAGTTGGCCCCCCCCCATTAAACATTTCGTTATGATATTACCATGTAATAATGCGCTCGATATGCGCTCAAACGCGCCGCTGAAAGTAATTTTTGCGCTGTTAAAGTTTTTGAGATATTTTGAAAAACATTTGGGGGGGTTCAAGTTCACGCAGCCCCCCCCATTATGCAATTTGGTATATCTGATGATTCCAAATTGTGCCTGTAGTTATGCGCTAAACTGCGCCACTGGATTAACATTTTGCGCCACTACCGTATGACCATAACGAAAGACAGAAGGTGGGTGGGGCTAAATTGATGGTTTTAAAAAAGTGCACTTTTTTAAACATTCTTAGTGCTATACGTTCCCTTTAGTTATGCGCTCAAATGCGCCGCTGAAACTAACTTTTGCGCTGTTATAGTTTTTGAGATATTTTGAAATATGTGTCTATTATAGTTACCAACCCTTAATTTTTTGTTCTGCGAGAAATTCAAAATGTCATCACTCATCAGCATTAATAAATCGCGCGGGATTGTAATTAGTATGCACTTTAACCTGATTGATTATTTGAAAGTACGGTTGATGGAGATCATATACAGTGAATTTTTTGTTAATGCGAACATAGGATTTTGTATGCAATATAATTCTCCTATGTTCGAAGTAGTAGGTAGATAAAATTGACAGCTGCTACATTTTTAAGATAATCGACGTCCAATTTAATTTAAACAAAACTTTAGAAATCAAGGTCGAAATTGTAAATACGAAAGTGAGAACAGTTTGGGAGAGTTCGGGACAAGGTGCTATAACATGGCATCACATGGCTTCTTTTAAAAAAAGTTACCGAGTGCTATTCATCATCGTGACTAGAAACCGTTGCTGTTCATAGTTACGCAAGTTGCGCGTTTTTCTGGTGCGAATATGAACGGCGCACACCTCATAAATAAATATTGATGGTTTTTTAAATCGAACATAGGGAAGTTACATTGCATACAAAATCGTATGTTCGAATTTTAAAAAAACTCACTGTAGGTACATATATTATTCGCGAAAATAATCGATATCACAAAATGTCTGAGGTAACTGAAATCAGTAGTTTGTTAAAAATTGTGATTAAGATATTCACGCATAAAAGAAAAAAAATGATATTTTTATTTTAACATTTGGTACATGAAAATACAAATCAAGAAGTGTAGAGAAACATTACAATTCTCACTTCCTTTGTGGGTGAAATATTTTCTTTGTTTTTTAAGTCATTATATTCTTCCCACATATTATTGTGTCGTTTGCAATAAGCGACAAAATGACCTAAGCCTAAACCTTCCATATGTCCAGTATGCCCAATGACTGCCCTTAGTAAGTATGTGGTAGTACCACATGTAAAGTGATGTGGAACGTCACTTAATTTAAATAATCTTTCCATTTGCATGGTATCAAGGGACACAGGCTGTATAAATAAATGAGGGCCGCATATAGTTAAAGTTTTTTGTAACTTGGTGCCACACAATCTACCATTATTGCGTGCAGTGCACTTCCTATTTGTGGATATATCTCCTATTTGGTTTAATATATCATTTTCAAAGTTGCATTCGTTATTACTGTTTACTGCTAAAAATGTGCCTTTTTGTGATATAACAAATTTGCATTGCGGACTTGAACATTCAAATTTTTCTTCAATGCACGGTAATGAAATCTTATCTAACATACTGTCAATTTCACACTCAGCATTCACAACATATATATTTTGAGGGTAGGGAGAACTTTGACATAATTCAAATAATATTTCAGCCCTCGCCTTATAGGAGTGAGCATTAATTCCTTTAGATATTATGGCCTGAACTAAATTACAAACACTTGAAATGTTAATTCCTTCGTCAAGAAAATTCTTAAAACTTAAACTATCACAATACGCACTGCACAGGGTTTGCACAATCGCATCGAATCCACACGTGTTAGACAGTGATACATATTCTTTTCCAATCCTTATCGGTTTAAGTTCTGGCCGGTGTCCATTTTTTAACACTCCAATGGGTATAACTTTCCTGGTGTCACTCCAATCCATACATAAAAATTCTGTATTGCTTTCCAAGTAGGAGCTTCGTTTCCTTTTAGATTTAGACGATACTCCAAGACCTCTCCAATTCTCCACCGATCGGCATTCCAGGCGGCTTACTTTGTCATGGTCCCCTAGCATCGAACATGATGTACAAAGTAATGTATCATTCCACACAGTAGAGCACTCCGTTTTGTGTATATAAACCTCGCACAATTCGCAATTTGAGGAATCCGTTTCAGATGTAATTGGTTGATTGCAAGATGCACATGCAGGATGGATATCGCCTGGAAAATGAGAAATTATTTTTAACTATGAACTTAGGTAAGTACCTATCTGGTTTTTTTGGTAGGAAGGAAAGATTCTAAATGTGATCCTGTTTGAGTATAATAGTAATGCAGTAATTACGTACCAAGAGCGCAACACAACAGAATACTTACTTGACTCCGCACACAGGAGGGTTTCGTTGTTAGACGAATTTGATAAGTCCTGGTGCTCATGGGTCTCTTCATTGCTTTCTTGAACTAGTAAACCAATAGAGTACATACATAATTAAAAGATATGGTTTTCTACTCACCGATGTGTTCTCCCAAATAAGTTGAATTTACAAAAAGTTTCTCTTCGCCGTTTTTAGAAGCATCAATTTCGCAATTTTCAGAAACATCTATGGCTACAGACATTGTATCGTTTTTTAAATTTTCCTGCTCCTGCCCATTACTAGCGACCGACGCAAGCTTCATTGCGCCGTCTATTGCGTTAATGTGACTAAAGACAAATTCATCTAACCTAATAGGTAATTGCCTATTGGAAAATATTCTGTGCTTGATATCGTTGAAATTACTTTCAACACAAGCACTACTGCCGATTATTCCTGCACCTGGATAATATTTATTCATAATAGCTGTCCAAAGTGGAATAGTCTTGGACACTTTTTTAAAATCTTCGATTAATGGTGGCAGAACTTGTTGGTTTCCACGATTACCCATCTCATTCGGTAACGATACAATATTCCTACATTTGGTGACAATGCCGTTAACCCAATCACTGAACGGTTGATCCTGATCAATATAAGGTAATTCCTCTTGATCCTCTGCAGTACACTAAAATGTTAAGTTTAGTCCTCCTATTATCATTATACTACACAGTTCTGATCTCCCATTAATATCAACCAATCACGATCAACAAAATAATCGAAATTAAGTAGGTATACTTACAAAGTTGGCGTCATTGTCAATGATTTCGACTGAACCTGTACCTATTCGCGCTTCTAACCATATCTTCAATTTGTCGCAAGTAGTAGGTTGTCCATCTATGGAGTTTCCTTCTGTGTCACTAAGGCACACAACGAATATGGCATTTAAGAGGTTTTCTAAGTCTTCCAAATCCGTGCATTGGACAACTTGACCCAATGCCTTTAAATAGAAAATTCTTGTTCTTCTATGAACATTTTTGAAGCATTTCCATCCAGTGAAAGACTTTACAACGTGGGCGACATCGCAGCGAATATAACAGTTTTCGGTGTTTTGATTAGTGTGTGTAAGAACGTTCCAGGAATGTTTTAAGTACTCATTTAAAGTTTTGAAGGTAGTAAAAGCATTAACACACGCATACAATAATGCCAATGACATATCATAGCATACTTTATTTGGGCAAGGTGCTCCGCTATTCATCCACATCGCTAACCATGAATAAATGCACAATGCTGTATTACTTTCTGACAGCATGCTGCATACTGTATACTGATTTTTTGTGTCTTTATTGCGAACTGCTATGTCGTACAAGAATATGTGCTTAGATTTCGTACCACACGGCCTAGTCAGTTTACGAACCACAGAACCAGTGGCATCTATTGCTACAATAGAGTAAGTACTATTACAATAATTTCTATACACTGCAATTTGGTTATTACTCCAATAATGAACGTAAAATGGACTTAAACCAATATTACCAATAATTCCATTGTATTTTTGGAATCCCGTTGCAGTCAATAGTGCATAGACAGGATCTGAATGCAAAAAACTTTTCTGCAAAAAGCGATGTTTTGCGACCCTAAGAGTATTTAGTTTCGGCAGATTTCTAGGTTCTATTTTATTGAATTTAGCTTTATGGGCCTCTAATCTTCTGTATAAACTAGCGCTTATATTTTCTTTTACCATTGCATTAACAGCCCGATTTCGAACATCTCCAGACAATGGACGCTTACCAGTTGAAGTGTGGGGACTATTAAAATTTCCATTAAATGTAAATTCTATTTTTATGAATTTATCATTTGGTAGCGGTTCAAAATCTATGATTCCTGTTAATACGGATTTACATTCTTTACAAAACGCTAACATTTTGCAATATAAATTCCCAGTTTTAAATATTTTTGCTCTTTTAAATATAATTAAGCAGTCCAGTTTAGTAATTTCATAAAAGTGATTATACATAATGTGACTCCAACTTCCTGGTTTTAGTATTACGTATTCCCTTTCCTTTTTATGCCGCCTATGTGCATCCTGCCGTTGATACACCTTGGTTTCGGGTTGCATGCAACTGAATTCATCTCGAGATAGTAGGGGAGACTGGGGAGGGTTGATACGTTTTTTAGAAAAAAATTAATAAATATTTTATGATCATCATTTGCTAATCCATTTATGTCAGAGCTCAATTTAGAGACATTGCTTAGAAATTTGGGAACATTAAATTACTGAAAATTAAATATTTAACTTTGAATATACAATTTTGAAATTCTCGATGCAAAGTGTCTCAAACCTCCCTATACAAGGGAGGCTTGATACATTGAATGGGAGGTTTGATACAATAAGAAATTAAATATAAAACACTAAAAGGACTGCAATCTATTATTATCAGAACATTATTTAATTAATACATAATTCACAAGAAAACATTTTTGTATTATGCTTGACATCAGCACAGGCTGAATGGCACCATCTGAGACACTTCTGGCATTGGATCCACTTTTCTCTAGAACGAGACGCTGAAAATAGTGAATTGCAGTAGATGCAAGCGGCATCGTCATCGTCATCTGCATCAGAAAATGGATCCTTTTCGTCCTCAGAATCCGAGTCACCGAACACACGTTTTTCTGTTTTTGCATTTCTATCCAAAACTTTTCTTTTGGGTTGGGATTCCGTACTCTCAGCATTGAGTTTTTCAAAGTGATTATTTTCTCCAGTTTCACTACTTATTTTTCGTTTAGCCATTTCAACTTTAGTTTTCATACGTTTTTTTCCTTCCCTCATCTTATACTCGGCCTCAATGGCCTCTTTTTCTGGGGTGTCGGTTAAGATTCTTGTCCGACCAGGCTTTCTGCCTCCTTTTTTCAATCGTGGTTGTGCCTTGGGATAAGGACGAACTTCTTCAGGAGTTTTAAATGAAACAGATGAGGTGCTTTGGATTGTGGTGCTATCCTGTAGAAACGTTTCTATTGGATTTGAAGTTGACTTCTGTTGACATAAAGAGGTGCCAGGTGGTGGTGTTGTCTCTTGCTGAGATATGGATGTGCCAGGTTGAGCTATTGGGTCATCTCTATCGAGTTCTTTTTCAGAATTTTCCCTTAATTCCTCATATGGTCTGTTTGTAACTTCTGCTCTTGCGAAATCGAGATCTTCAAATAAATGTGGGTTAAAAGGATAAATTCCAGTGGTTGAAAATCCCTTGGTTATATTTGATGGCGAGAACGCCCTGACATAGGCTAATCCAACTAATTCCGGTATATTTTTTAATGAAATTGTTTGTCCTGGATGGCTGACCATCCATGCATCTGCCTGTTCATTATAATATCTTTTAAACGGACCAAAAACCGATACATCTAAAGGTTGTAAGCGGTGGCTTGTGTGAGGTGGTAAAGTTAGTAAATGAATGCCATTTAACTTACATTTGTCTAAGGCTTTGGGTGAAATATGGCTTTCGTGATTGTCAAGGACTAATATGCATTTGTTTTCATTGGAACATTTTGCGTGTTTTATGAAGTGATCTAGATATTTTACGAAATTATCAGCAGTCATCCAACCACTTTCATGCGTCACAGCAATGGAACCTGAAGGAGCACCTTGGATCATGTAATCCTGCATTCTCACACGAGGAAATATAAAAAATGGCGGCACAGAATTTCCTACTGCATTTATAGCACAACAAACTGTTACCAGAGTACCACGTTCTGCTGAAGTACTTTTTGAAATTTGTTTTTGGCCTTTACGCGCAATGATCTTTTGAGGTTTGTGGGCAGTAGTCACTCCAGTTTCATCTAAGTTGTACACGGATTCTGGGCCAAAAGTTTCCCGTTCCAATAAATTGCTCAAATTTTTGTAAAATTCTTGCACATTATGTCGATTGAACGCAGTGGCTCTGCCCAAACTAGTGGCTTCGGGACTTCTGAGTGATAATTGGGGATAACGTGACATGAATCCTTTTAGCCAATCGTAGGAAGCACATTCGTTTTTCTTCCAGTTTTCTGGTAGCTTTTTGTTATTTGCTTGACCAAATTCATACGCAAACTTCCTTGTTTGCTTAGGCGTAAGACCATAGTGGAGGTTGGCAGAAGTGAGCAAATATTCCACTAAAAGCGATTCTTCGTGACATGAAAAAATTTGTGAAGTGACAAAATTTGGTGTAAAAGATGTTTCTTTGTCCGTCTTGTATTTTAGGACATATCTTCTCAGTGTCATTTTGTCAACATTGTACTTTTTGGCAGTAGTCCTCAGTGCTTTATTTTCATTTACTACTTCAATAACTGCGCTTTTTAAATCGTCTGGAGAATACTTTGTGCGACCTTTAGATTTCCATTTAAACGGCATCTATAACAATATAGGTACCTACTTAATTAGCCTATATTATAATTGCCATGAAAATCACATAAATACTTGTTCAATAATTATAAATAAATAAATAAATACAAATAGGGAGGTTTGATACGCGTATCAACCCTCCCGATACAAAATGTATCAAACCTCCCGGAATGTCAATTTATGAAATACGTAGCATAAAAGTATTATACACATTGGATTAAAGATCTGTACTGGTGCCCTAATATTGAAAATGAAATGCGCTTGAAGCATAATAGACAGCATGTCTTGGTATCAAAAAACTTACATCGAATGGGCAGAAAACACACTATAACCTTGAAAACGTTCAAACAACACGCGATCGTTCTGGGATTCTATCACTAACACCCGTTCTCACCACTTTTACTTAAAACTGTTCCTTAACTGAGTGCAACTTAAAGTTAAGGTCCATTTAAATCTAGTCGTCTGTTGCACGGCGCACTTCTATGTAACACTTGGCTAAAGTGTTACTTACAATTGTGGATGTCTGGCAACAATGTTAAAATCTGGGGATTTCTGTTATTTCTAACGTCGGTGAGGTTATGTTTCGTTGTTTTGTTCATTGTGTTGACTTTCAAATCATTTTAAATTTTAATCAAGTCTGGTAAGTATCAACAATCACTCTAATTGCTGCATCGTGTTGGAAAAATGATTTTTCTTAAATTTCAGCGATGGAAGCCCGTGGTTCTCCTCCACCGACAAAAAAACAAAGAACTGCCAATTACTCAACAGATGAGAAAAATGTGCTGTTTAGCATTATATGTGATTATAAAGGGATAATTGAATGCAAAAAAACCAACGCCGTCACGTGGAAGGAAAAGGAGGCCACATGGGAAAAGATTTCCTGTAAATTTAATGCTCAATCCCCAGGCGGTGTGTACAGGTAAAATGTGACACTATGCAATGCACTTACAAAAACACTTACAATTTCTGTTGTAGAAATGTGACATCACTTAAAAAATGTTATGAAAACGCAAAAAAAACTGTTCGTAAAAATGTGGCCCATGAACGGTTAGAGTATATTAAAACTGGGGGTGGTACACCTAATACAATTGTCGACGATAAAAACGAAGACTTAATTTTATCAATCGTCAATCCGAAGACTGTCGTAGGTATCCATAATACCTTTGACTGCGACATGGTTATGGAATGTTTGCCAGAGGATATAGCAATTTCTACAACCATGTCCCACGAAGCATTGCCAGTATCTAACCTGGAGGCTCCATCAACATCGGCATCTGAAATGGCCCCAGAGGCTGAAGAGGTGTGTAGGTTTTATTTTGCATAGTTACAGATATTTTGATTTCTGGTTGTAGGATGTTGATTGGGGCGATTACAAGGTGGCCCACTTAAAAACGCCGGTAAATAAAGCCTTGCAAACAAGTGGAAATACTAATAAAAAAAATGGACATCCAGGCGCCGACCAGTGGGTCAATCCCTTCACTCGACAGACTTAACAAAAACATATAGTGAAGTGGCTAAACTCAAACATGAAATGTTAACCATCCAATTAGAGATAATTAAAGAAGAGAGGGAGGCCAAAAACCTAGAGAGCCAGCTGCGACAGGGGGAGCTACGACTCAACATAGAGCTTAAAAAATTACAAATTGAAAAATTAAAAGAAATTAAAGAATAAACTTTATTTAATTAAAAACAGAAAAAGTATTATTTTATGTACCTATCATTTATGCCATTTTACAATGTATTTATGTTCTTATTGTAATTATAATCTTCCAAAATAATCATTTATAAAATTCAAACGAACATTATTTCCTCCAACATGATTTATATCTGCAGGAACAACCGGAATGTTCCCTTCTTCTATCAAGACATTTAATTCATGGGGATTTCCTTCTACTGGTGGAATTTCATCCTCCCCCATCTCTTGTGCCACATTATGCAGTATTGCTGTTGCAACTATAACTATCAATGTGGTGTCTAACTTTAAACGACAGCCGTAAGCATTCACAGGAAACCTACGTTTCCACACACCAAATAGTTTTTCAACTACCCCTCGTGTTCGAATATGGGATTCATTATATAGTTGCTCTTGTTGTCCATTAGGATGTAAAAGTGGCGTAAGTAAGTATGACTTTACTGGGTAACCACTGTCACCTACAAAATAGGTAATTGATAAAAAGGTATTCATAATAAAGCAAGTATGCTTACCCAGAAGCAGACAATTTGGATAACTTCCATTTTCAAACCTTGCCTTCAGTCTACTACTATTAAAAATTGTTGTATCATGTGCTGATCCCGGCCAGCGTACTACTATATCTACAAAGTTCAATCTAGCATCTGTAACTCCTTGTACATTAATAGAGTGATAAGATTTTCGGTTACGAAATACTTCAGCATCGTCTCCACCTGTTTTAAATAGTGTTTAAATTTGTTTAAAATGAGTTAAAAAACAAACCGGGAGATTGTATTCTTATATGAGTCCCATCAACTGCTCCTATCACCCTTGGAAACCTTGCCACTTCATAAAACTGTTGCTGAAGTTCAAGCAATCCTTCTGCTGTAAATGGTAACTTGATGTACCTAGCCCGAAGTGAAGCTATTGCTACTGATACCTTCTTAACAATTCTAGATACACTTGACACATGCACACCTGCAAAATCAGCAATGCTGAGAAGGTGGTTGCCAGTAGCATAGTATCGAAGTGCTATTAATAATTGTTGCATCGGAGATATGCTATTATTTCTAAAAGTACATCAGAATACTTATTGTGGATATTAATTATTGCAGATGTATCTTACGTATCATATGGGAACTCCAAATTATTTTCTATTTGGATTAGTACTTCCATTACTGTTGGTTTCGTTAGTCGAAACCTTTTAAAAAATGATAGATCATCCATACCATAAAAATGATCTTTTCTTTCACGTATTTGTCGTGGAACTCCTACTTGCAGTACCTCCAACACGTCTAAATCGTCCTCAATAATATCATTTCCCAAAAATAAATCCATTTTGAAAATGTGAAGGTTTACAAGGAATGTAACTACCGAATTTTTAGGTTAAGTATCAACTTAAGTAGTAAAATTCTTAGGCTTAAACTTAACTTCCACTTAAACATTTAAGAAAGACTTAAGATGTTGGTACAATGAAAAATCTGTCCCTTAGTTTTTAAGTCGCACTTAAAGTAACTCTTAAAAGTTAAGGAAATGTGGTGAGAACGGGCGTAACTGTTTTTACACCCACTGTCGGCACTGCACGAAGTTAAGCCTTCTTTACGAAACCGAAGCGCGAAGTTTGAAGATGTATCAAGCCTCCCCGTGTATCAAACCTCCCCAGTCTCCCCTAATATGTGATACCGTAGAATTTGGGAAGACACATTTGCAGTTTGAATGGAATCAACGTTGACATCAACTTCGTCCTCATCGAGGTCCTCATCATCCTTCAACATATTATTATCTGTTCCCACTATCTTATCTTCCGTAATTATTGACAAATGTTCCCATAGAGAGTAATAATTCTTAATTACGGCAGTGTATATAGCATTAGGTGACATATTGATGGTTAAATGTTTAGCTATATCCGACCAAACATTATAACATTTTCCTATAATTTTATTGTCAATATATACCTTCTCCTTATACGACAAAAGAAGAGATTTTAGAGCATTAATTTCTTCCTCTGAGCGTTTAGGACGCATTTTTGAACTATGCTGACGCTAAAAGACACAAAAAATTAAGAATGCATGTTTTACCCTGCTTAGCAATTTCCTACGCTACGTTATTCAAATTGTCTCCATGGCAATTGCATCGAAGTTCAACCTACAAAAAGCATTTTACTCAACATATTGTCGTATAATTAATTGTTTCCATCACATTCCGACTGCATCGTGTAAGGACTTGATAGTTCTGGGTATTATTTTTTTAAACATTTCAATGCGACTGGAGGACATTTGAAGAATGTAGCGTTTTGGAAATGAGGTTTTGGCATAGTACGGCCAATGGATATCATATTGTACAAACTTATACTTTATAAGTGATAAAAAAGTTAAAATAATTCTCTAATAAATAATTATATTTTGAAATCATCCCGCATCATAAGAACGATTAGATCAAATCTAATGTGATAAAGATTGATAAATTCCTAAAAACCATTTCTGATATGATTATTCACCTATTTATTTAAATCAGATTGTATTGTATATCAACATATCCTTTGACCAAACAACTAATCAGGGACGGACAGGCTCTTCGGTGGGAGAGTGGGGGGCATCAATTTTCAGAATTTCAATCTCGATTTCAATGAAAGGTAACTTTTTTTAAATAGAACTACCAAGTTTTTTGTATTGCATTAGATGTAGGATTCGATTAGCTTTCCAACGATTAAGTACGTCGGTATTTACGTTTTACGGTTTTTTTTATAATTCAGCTTTTAATAATTTACAGTGTTTTGTGATATTCAAAGCCTCTCAGTAATTAGTAGGTTGTTAAAACAAATAAACACCAATTCAAATTATAAAACGTTTACCTCAAACAAAACAAACACTTAACCACCCCAAAAACCAAAATATAACGTTTAAATAAAAATACAAGAAAAATAACAATTGTTTTAATAAATGTTCAAAATGTACCCAATATTATAAAAAAACTAGGCAAATGTAAATACGAACGTGCTTATATCGTAATCACGTCGTACATTTTACGCAATAAAGAAAAACTTGGTAGTTTCATTTAAAAAAATCAAGTTACCTTTGATCGCAATTTTGAAAATTAACACAAAATAAGTAAAAAACTTTGACCGATATTTAATTTGTACTGGACATCTGCTTTTTGAAAAAACGACAAATTGCGGCTAAACGGCTAATAATAGATATCATGTGTAATACCATTATTACCATTATAAAACTAAGAAAAAATCACGTTTATTAAAATTATTTTTTTATATTTTTGAAAATAAATGAACGCCACCGCATTTTGGAAAATTGCATTTTTCGGTTTTATGGCCATAACTTATTTGCAGAGCTATCAGAAACTATGAATAGGATAATTAATCATCATACAAGTCTGCATAACTTTTCCCGTTAAGCGACTTTGTATCTCTGCGGTTTACGAAATCCCTATAATGAAAGTGAAAAAAACTCACCCTGTATGTTTTATTAGTTTTGATATGAAGAATTATGCTTTTTGAAATTTTCGTTTTTTCTATAAAGTTTTTCAGCCATCAGAAATTAACAGCACTGTAAGCCGTAAGGTACAAATAAATTCGGTTAAAATGTACACTTTCCGCCCGCCGATTGCATCTACAAACTCATGCGCCCTCATTTCAAGGATCACCCTCCTATGATAATATGGTACTCAGTCCGTCCCTGCAGCTAATAATTATTTGAAGATGCCAACATGTAATTGATGATCATGATCACAACTCATAAAATTCCTTATGCTAAATACTCACCTTTTGCTATAAACAAAAAGTGTTGCCAAGTACAACCTTGCAATTTTAAAGCACCCACAATTTATCACAAATCAATTTATTTCCACTAATTTATACCTAGGTATAAGGCTATATTAAAAAAGTGTGAACAGCGAACTTGCAATTTTTAAACTAAACGCACTACTTGACTTGTCACAGGTATTATCGTATTTGTTAGGAACTTAACTTGAGTGAGATGCAAACAAGGCAAATTGCTAGTAGGAAAATATTTTTTTCTTGGTCCGACGGCATAATTAAAGCAAACGTTTTTTAATCGTTCAACGTGCACCCAGTTGGCATCGTTGGCTGCGTGATGAACTCCCCCCCCCCTCAATGTTTTTCAAAATCTCTCAAAAACTTAAACGGCGCAAAGGTTACTTTCAGCGGCGCATTTGAGCGCATAACTAAAGGGAACATATAGCACTAAGAATGTTTAAGAAAGTGCACTTTTTTAAAACCATCAATTTAGCCCCACCCACCTTCTGTCTTTCGTTATGGCCATACGGGAGTGGCGCAAAATGTTAATCCAGTGGCGCAGTTTAGCGCATAACTACAGGCACAATTTGGAATCATAAGATGTACCAAATTGCATAATGGGGGGGCTGCGTGAACTTGAACCCCCCCAAATGTTTTTCAAAATATCTCAAAAACTTTAACAGCGCAAAAATTACTTTCAGCGGCGCGTTTGAGCGCATATCGAGCGCATTATTACATAGTAATATCATAACGAAATGTTTAATGGGGGGGGGGGGCATTTTTCGTACTGCCGCTTCGATTTTTCGGGTACTAACTCATAACTGCAACACAGCAGAATTCGCAAAAAGTTTTATTTCCGGAGGAGTTCCGGATATCGAAAAATCACTTTCGGAGTCACACATTTTGACTTTCCTTTCACGAAAAGTTATTCATTGTTTCTCATTTCCATGGTAAAATGAAAACTGGCCGTCTTTCTATTTGCGACGAAAATTATTATTTTTGAAATCTCATTTTTATTTATTGACGATTCTACGCAATTGCACAAAAAATGTTGTGTATACCACGGCCGCGTCATTCTTTAACGCCCTCAAAGTTGCCTTGCCTCGGCCGCAAGCGGCCTCGGCGCCAATCTTCTTTTCGGTACGTTAAAGAATGACTTCGCGGCCTAAGTATACAAATAACTATTAGGGTCCTTGTTCGGTACCGAAATTCCTTGTTCGGGGGAAATATCTTGTTCGAGATCACCTGTTGATTGGGGAAAATTTTGGGAGATTCATTATCAACCATAGACACCTAGGAGGTCGTGACCAACAACCTTATCTGAGAGAGATAAGAGCGGCCATTTTATGAAGACGAGGGAGAAACTCATTTAACTACATACTGTTTCGACATGATCGAGAATGCCTTTTTTTTTGCTTGATCGTATATATTAATTTTTGTGTGGCTGCGACACTCCATCAGAGACACAGACATTTTTAGAGGGGTATCGAGATTTGAGCTTACCGCAAGCTTCGTAGGTCCTTCAGACATTTATTCATAATATATTCCGAACCCTGTGGTTTGGGCCTTTTTGTTCTCTTTTGATTGCAGAGATGAATGGTGCAAACAGAGCTCTCTTTGCTGCCTCACATCTGGAATATTACATAAGGTAAGCGTTATATTCTATTTGCCTTGTTGTTACCGAACTTGCGTTGGGATATTTTCGTTACTAGTTGTGACCGGTAGTAACGTAACCATTTTGTAATTTATATGTGTGATTCATTTATTAATCTTAACGATCATTAAGGAACAGTAATTGGGGGCAATCATTTTTGAACTGGAGTATAATTGCTGGGAATTAATTGGGGGTTTTTATGATTTGTGCAGTGTGTAATTTCACATATATATCTATATTATTTTGCAATTTATTTGAAAGACACCAGCAATATAGACCCGATTTGTATTTGTGGTTATTGTGCATCCTGTATCTTCCCAATTTTATGCAGGGTGAGTTGATAGTGTACATTAGAAATTGGGTGGCGCTCAACCATAACGCACGGAGATTGTCTTGCCCAGAACGAACTTTACTGCTTTGAACCTTCTCTTGCTTCCATATTTAAAAACACTGAGCTTAGCTGGCCGTTTATGCGGCGGGTTTTGTTAAAAGCAGCGCCAAGCCAGACCCACTGTTATAATTTTTTTAATTCCTTCCGGGTTTTCTTGAATAAGACAACAACCAATCCCAAAAGATGAAGCACCTGCAGAAATTATAATTTTCTGACTGGGGTCAAAATACTCAAGACACGGGCTCTCTTGTAATAAGTTTTTAATTTTCTCAAAGGCCCGCGTTTGTGCATGCTCCCAAGAAAAGGGAACATTTTTCTTTAACAAAGAAGTTAGGGGTTCTAAAATACTTGATCGGTTAGGAATAAACCTACATGAAAAATTAACCATGCCCAAAAAGCGTAAAAGCTCAGTTTTATCCACTGGTCTAGGAAATTTGACAA